CGCATTTATTTTTATGTATGCCTACAAGTGAGATGCCCTGGAGGTATATACTAGTACTTTTGAAAATAACTTTCTGGCTTTCAAGGGGGAATACCTGCAAAGTGTTGCTTAAGAAAGAGAGAAAAGAAGATAATCTAACTTTATTTTAACATCAGAAAGGAGAACAGCCAGGAAGACTACTGGAGCCCTTCATCTATGCCGATGGTAAAGGCTCTACATCATTAAATGCAATGATGTCATTTTCATAAGCACTTCAGTCCAGGGAAGTCTTCAAAAACGAAACTACAAGGAAAACGGCATATTGGGGTGAGGGTGAGAGCAGGAGGACTAGCACAGCCTTCTTAAAAAAAAATACTAAAAAGAAAACAAGCACAAAAACCCCAAAGGCCGTTTCTCCATCCGAGGTGTTAGTGCACGTGGCCTGAGATTTCACCTGTTAGACTAATGAATGAACACAAAGGCAATGTCTGGTTTTTCTTACATTTTCAGATATGCCGTATTCGAAGGAAGAGGAATTGCAAGCAGTTCAGATCAAATTCCACCTACGTCTAGATCACAAGTGAAAAACCACACACTGGCCTCATGTTCTCCACTGCCGACATCACCGTTCCACATGTATGAGTGAGATGAACAGCTGTATATGCAGGTGAGGAGGGGAGCCAGAAAAAATTCTGAAGGAGCAAAGCTAATGCCATGGAACTTGCTACACAGAAATTCTTTTTTATTTAAATGTACCTTAAATGAGCTCAAAGGTGTAAGTCATGCCTGCTTAAGGTGGAGATTATCTTTCTGCCAAAATCAGCGGGTCCAAAATCCCTGAACTCTCGCAATAAACTCTGGGATTGAAAGTAAGCACAGTGCAGTTCCCACTAACTTTCCTTCTAGATACTTTATCATTGTAGAGGTCCTTCTAAATAACTGTCCTCTTGAATCCATTTTGGTCTCAATTTAATTTCTATTCTGCTCATGTTACTGACCAGCCCAAGACCAGGAATGAGAAATTGAATTAGGACTCTGAATAACTGAAGTTGCATGTTGCAACAAACAAATGTTATTTTTAAAGTTGGCCAATCATCTATATTTCCTGAAGCACTGTTTCATAGACAGCTTTGCTCCTCTTATGCTGTGATCCCGTTAAGCCTGGACGATGTCTGAGAGCAGAGTCTATCCAATAAGGCCTTAGGACAGAAAACCAGTTAAACTTACCGTTTTGAATTTTACCAGTGTAGGAGTAAAGACCACATTTAACACTATCATACATAGAAACAAGAAAAAAGTATAAAATGTAAACAAGTTGCTCAGAAGTCCGGTTCAAGTTCACCAAGATTAGATTATTTTCAAAATTCAAAGACAGATGATCATGAGTATCATTAAATTCAATGGTGGGTATGAACAAATGGTCAGAGGAACACAGACCCCTGCTGCCTTGTTCAACCTACACATTTGAAGTTACGCTTTTAAAAATATTCAAGATGAAATGTTATGTGTTTCCTGTTATGTTACAAATACTAAAATGAAGCATCAAAGCCAACAAGAAATCATTATTATTACTTGAACTTGGCTTCTAGGCACCTCCTATCCAGGCACCATTGCATTTCACAGTGAAAAACACAAGCCTCCCCAACCCACACACATTTAGAGTAGAATTAGCATCTACCAAAATGTGGTGACCATTACTGATGAGGTCATGGGGAAAATACTAACGTAACAGTCTGAATAGTTTTGTGTGGCCTCTGAGTTTTCTCAACTAAGAATCTGAAGTGAAAGCAAAACTTAGATTTTCCAAAAAGGTTCACCCCTCTGAAAAAACACAGATTAGAGAGCTTATAAACTATTAAACTGCACCAAATAAAGATTTAAGTTATTCTAAAATAAAGCTCAGTGCTTCAGGGAAACACCACCTCTACTAATGCTGAGCCAATTCAGGTGCTGCTGGTACAACCCTAAAGAGTGACGTGTCTGGTAACTGTGAGCACTGTCCACGCCTCACGTGGACAATTCAGGTCCTAATGCAGGCCACAGGCAGCTAGGCTGCCCCATAACCACCATTCATTCACCGTGCAGGCAATTGCTCAGGGCCCAGAACCCTGCCTCCCTCAGGGCTTCCCAAACCAAATCAGGGACAGATGCAACATAGCCATACTTTTGCACTGTTTTAGTACGCAGTTCTGCTTAAACTAACTCATGAAAAACCTTAGCTACTCTGCTGTTACTCATCCCCTGCCAGCAGATGAATTTGGCAATAGAAACATCCTAAAAAATAGTAGGAAAAGGGCACAGGAAGACCTGGATCCAGCTTATCCCACCCCTAAACTCAGATATCTGAGTGCCCTGCGGTCATTTGGCCTTGGTTTCCTCCTCTAAAAACACAAGTAGATCTGAACTCTGTTCTGACTATAATAGTGAACCTATGGGCCACAGAGTAATAAACAGCCCGACACTAGAGCACACCACTTGCACCAGACCTGGTGTGGCTGCGGCCTCAACACTGGTCATGTCGAAGAGCAAGGATTTACAGGTGCCATCATCTCCCTCCTGCAACTTCTCCAGCCTTTAAAAAACCAATTCTCAATCATCTATTAAATAATCTGTTTAAAGTAGCTTTAATTAGTATATAAATCCAAACCCCTGCTTGCCAAGACTATCAGAGGATGTCGAGACTGCCATTAGCAGGCTCCATCCCAGAATTATACCACGTAAGCAGACTGCATAGGAAGGGCACCACAGAGACCCATTACCACAAAAACAAAAAAATTACTATTAAAAATTCGAAAGCCAGTTTACTAATAGAGAAAGTTTGGTTTGAGATATAAAGAACATTCTTCTGATACTAAAGTATTTGTTTTATAACAAAGATGGAGTGTGCAGCTTCCAACAGATGTGTTGGAAGGCCCCACTAAAACACTGCATCATAAATGAGAAGAAAACTTGGTTAACTCATTATCAGAAGCTAGTCTTCAGAACATCCCAGGCCAGCTTGGCTCACAGGGTCCAAGAGTCCACGTAATTCATTCTAAGAGACCAGCAAGCCGAGGCCCGAGCTGAGGAGCAGCCCGCACACCTCTCCCTGCTGCCAGGCTGTCCGGGTGTATTTCTCTCACAAACTCGTCTCCTCACACACTCTGACGGGGATGTTGTAATGCCGATCGTCCTCAGCAATCAGGGTCACCACCGGCCAGTCCCTGGGTGGGTCTGTGGGGTAGACCGTGATGAACTCCTCAGTGCTGTACTTGGAGAGCCGGTACACCTGGATGGTGTGGCGCACAGCATAGGCCAGAAGGAACATTTCAATCTGCGGAGGAGAGCAAACAGGTAAGGGAAGGGCAGCCACCCTGAAAGATGCCGCTTACCTCCCGCTCCATCCCAGGTGTCCCAGGCCAAGCCAGCTAAGCCAAAATCCTTCTTCCTCCCCATGGACCAGCCCCAGTCCTCTCTCATATGGCTGTTGTAAACAAGCAAATGACCAAGAATGAATCATGTCTGATGAGGGACTTGTAACCAGAATTTATCACAACTCTTACAACTCAATAAAAAAACAAAGGACCAGTTTAAAAACTGAGCAAAGGGTCCGAACAAACAGTTCTCCAAAGAAGATACACAAATGGCCAATATGCACATGAAAAGTCATCAAGGGAATGGAATCAAAACCATGGTGAGATACTGCGTCACACCCTCTGGAATGGCTCCATCAAAAAGACAAAAGATGCAGGGGAATGACTGCTTACCAGGTATGTTTTTCTTTTCAGGCATGAAATGATTTGATACAGGTAGTGGTCACACAACACGTAAATGTACTAAAGGCCACTGAGCTGTACACTTTAAAATGGTTACTTGTATGTTGTGAGGTGTAGATGTGGGACTCAGAAACACCAATGATACAGCTGTTCCTCAACACTAAATAAAGAACTGCCATATGACCCAGCAATTCCACTCCCAGGTACATACCCAAGAGAACTGAAAAAAATATGTCCACACAAAAAAACTTGCACATGAATGTTCAGAGCAGGATTTTTCAAAATAGTTAAAAAAGGAATGACCCAAATATCCATCAACTGATGAGTAGATGAATAAAATGCGATATATCCATACCATGGAATAGTATTTGTCAATAAAAAGGAATGAAGAATTGACACATGATACAATATGCATGAACCTTAAAAACACTAAGCTGTGAAAGAAACCAGTCACAAAAGACCACATATTGTATGATTTATGATTCCATTTATATGAACTCTCTCCATAGTAGGCAAATCTAAGGTGACAGAAAGTAGATTACTGGCTGCCTAGGACTGGGGGGAATAAGAATGGGTCTGAGGTTTCTTTTAGGGGTGATAAAATGGTTTAAAATTAGACTGTGATGGCTGCAAACATACTAAAAAACCATTGAGCTGCATACTTTAAAAGGGCAAACTTTACGGTCGGTAAATTATCTCAATAAAACTGTTTTTTAAACATTGGACTCTCCATGACAGCAGACCTTGTGGAGATCCAAAAGGACTAACATGCAAAACACCTTCTACCAGGCTTTTCACTGCAATGTACTTGCTACTGTTCAGGAGACATTAGGTAACTTACGCTACAAGTACAGGTTATTTTAAATAATTATCTTCAATCCCGCCTGACCCAGCATGACCATCACCTTTGCTCTTTCAGACAGACCAGGAAAAGGCAAGCCAAAGAGCCAGCCATGGAAGAAGAAAGGAAGCGCTTTGGAAGACTAGCCTCAATGCAACTTTAGTGGTTGGCTATCCCACTAAAAGAAGACATAAGCTTTTTAGGGCAACGTAATGAACTCACCAAAGACAGAGTGCAAAGTAAGCCAACCGCTGCGTCCCGGGACAGTACTGTATTGGGTCTCTGTGTAAAATTCCAAACTAGTGTATGTGTAAAAGATCAAGAGCAGGCTGTGCTCTACTGGCTAAGGTGACCCCATTTCTATTTTTAAAGGATCATAGTAGCTAATACAGCTACAGCTGCCAAGATTAAACACCCTTCACATGACTCTTTTTTTTTAGACTACCAGCTCCAAAGATACTGATCCCATTACCACCTGCAGAAGCAAGCCCAGGCTGAGATAACCATGTTGGTCCTAAAATAGATTCACAATTCTGTAAGAGTCGGGTGAACTTGGTGACTTGCTAACCAATATAATATGGGTAAGTGTGATGGGGTGTGACTTCTAAGATTAGACCATAAAAGGCATTGTGGCTTCTTTCCACTCTCTCCTTGAATTACTTTCTGAGAGAAGCCAGTTGCCATGTTGTGAGGACACTCACACAGCCCCATCTGTATAAAGCCCCACATGGCAAGGAACTACCCCCTACCAGTGAGGAAATGAGGCCTCCCGCCAACAGCCAGGTGAGTGAGCCATGTTAGACATGGATCCTCCAACCCGAGTCAAGTCGTCAGATGATTGCAACCTGAGACCTCAAGCCCAAATCACCCACTAAGTTGCTCCTGAATTCCTGACACCCAACCACTACGAAATAATGTTTGATGGTTAATGCTGGTGCTTTGGGATAATACGCAAGGGTGTAACTTACCTGTTCGAGGCCACCAGTGTGTCCCACCTGATTTAGATGGTTCCTCAGTAGCTGTCCAGGGTCACTGGATGTGTCCCGAGCAAACAGAAGCACAGAGAAAAATGGTACGTCCTCTCCCTTCTCTTTATCATCATATAGTTCAATGGCTCTGTGTAACATTAGAAATTTTACAGCTTCATAAAGGCTATATTCTTCCTCTTCATTTGTGAACAGTTCATCACAAGCTTTCTGCCTTGCTTCAGCAGTTCTCAGTTCAGCCAAGCCTGCCCACTGCAATAAAAAAGTTACATAATAATTACATTTTTGCTCTAAAAGTCCCTGGTATACTTCCATACTTTGAGCACAAAATCATTTTCAAAAGTAGGCAACCGTGGGTCACAACATTCAAGTTTCCAGCTCAAACAATGGTACTACTCTTTAGGCCACACAAAATCCTTATTCAGTTTCTGCCCCATTAATTTGGAACAGAAGTACAACGCACTAAGGAGAAGCACTGGGACTGTGGAATGGCAATTTGGAACCCTAACTTCAGGCAATGAGACTCAATCAATCAAATATTTATGGGAGACCTAATGTGCATGTGAGTCCTGGGTGTGAAGCTGTGAAGAAGAGCTAAAATTACTCCTCTCTATAAGGGGGCTTACAGTTATCCAGAAACCTTCAAAAATGAAGATGGGCAAGGACGATTAGGGGATGTCCTAAATATTACTAAATTTAACCTTCTAACCTCTGAGAAGTATACGTGATTTTCAAATGAATAAATCCATTCAGGAAATTCTAATTGACTCCTGATTAAAAATAGAGCAGTGTCAGGTATTCAGCTAAAATAGGCACACTCTTTATGTGAACAAGAAAACCCCATAAATACATGTACTTTTTTTTTTTAAAGGTATAATGGGGGATAGAAATTCTTTTTTTAAAAAATATATTTTATTGATTTTTTACAGAGAGGAAAGGAGAGAGATAGAGAGTCAGAAACATCGATGAGAGAGAAACATCGATCAGCTGCCTCCTGCACATCACCCACTGGGGATGTGCCTGCAACCCAGGTACATGCCCTTGACCGGAATCGAACGTGGGACCTTTCAGTCCACAAGCCGATGCTCTATCCACTGAGCCAAACCGGTTTCGGCAAATACATGTACTTTTAAGTTAAAGTAAATTAGAATAAAAGATGCCAATATGAAACTAGTCCTTAGGAATCACCAGTAACTACCGCCCCCTGAAAAGCCAGTAAAATTTTAAATCCAAGAGTAAATTTTAATGGTAATGACTGCACCACAGGACTCTCTAACAAGTGGGCTGAAAGCTGGAACACCTCATTTTCCAGAAGTAGACAAGTCGCCAGTCAAGAGCATAGCTCTAGAATGTGGATGGAATGAAGGCCTCACCCAAGCAGCTGATGGCTTTTACAGGGCATTAACCAATTGCGGGGCCTTAGTTTTCTCAGCTGTAAATATGGGGTAACCATAGCAACACCACCTTGGTAGTTGCAAGAATTAAATACATACAACTTTTAGTGTACGGCCTGGCCCATAGAAAGTGCTGGGAATGTAGCTCAGATTATTAATAATTTTCACATTACTGTAAATTGGAATCACTTAAACATTCCCCAAAACGAGGATCCAGTCACTCTAGACCAGTGATGGCGAACCTATGACACGCATGTCAGAGGTGACACGCGAACTCATTTTTTTGGTTGATTTTTCTTTGTTAAATGGCATTTAAATATATAAAATAAATATCAAAAATATAAGTCTTTGTTTTACTATGGTTGCAAATATCAAAAAATTTCTTTATGTGACACGGCACCAGAGTTAAGTTAGGGTTTTTCAAAATGCTGACACGCCGAGCTCAAAAGGTTCGCCATCACTGCTCTAAACACACCTAAAAAAAGCAAAAATTGCAATTTCACAAGAACTTAAAAGAGATAAAAATGAAATCACAAGTGACTGAACTGAAGAGCCTTCTCACTCCCACAGGGCCAGAGTCCTGCCCTCAACCCTCCACTGACCCGGGGACGGCAGCACCGGTCTCCAACCCCCACAAATCCTGTGCTCTGCTTAACAGGCAAGAACAACAGAATCCCTCTGTCTTTCTTGTCCTCCCATTTCATCACTGGTGTTCCTGTGACAGTGTGTTTTGCAGTAAATACTTCTATGATGGCAAACCCAAACTAGGTTCCAGGAAGTCAGGTCCTCAGTCCATCCATCAACAAGGTATTTACCGAATGCCTATTATGTGTCAGGCTCAGGTCTAGGCACTGGGTGTAAAGAAATGACATCTTTCATGAAGCTGAAAGTCTAATGGGACATGAATTCATATCACTGATATTACGATAAGAAATTTGGACTGTCCCTCGCCAGTGTGGCTCAGCTGGTTGAGCGTCATCCTGTGCACCACTGAAAGGTCACCAGTTCGGTTCCCAGTCAGGGCACATGCCCAGGTTGTGGACTTGATCCCTGGTTGGGTGCATGTAGAAGGCAGCCACACCATGTTTCTCTCATATTGATGTTTCTCTGTCTTTTTCTTCCTTTCCCTTCCTCTCTCTCAATTCAATAAAAACATTAAAAAAAGAAAAATATGGACTAAATGTATCACTGAAACTTGTCAGTATGACTTAGCACAAAGACTATATTTGTTACGGTTTCCTTTTAAGATAAACAATTCATTAAACATATCATCTCCTCCAAAAATATCTGATGTTGATATTTCTCAATTTTACCAAAGATCTCACAGGAAGGGTTTGTGTTCATCCAAAATTATTTTGCCTAAAAACCAGCCAAAAACATCTGGTAATCCACTAAGTGAGAACTAAGAAGTGGTCTGCTGAGGGGGATAAATGGTGATGGAAGGAGACTTGACTTGAGTGGTGAACACATAATACAATATATAGATGATGTATTATAGAATTGTATACCTGAATCCTATATAATTTTATTAACCAATGTCACCCCAATAAATTCAAGAGGAAAAAAATGGTCTGCTGGGGCAATTAGGAGCAGGAGCTTTTGCACTTCACAGAAAAAGAAAATTACATGTTCCAAACCTTCTTTCTTAGTAAAGTGAGGGACTCCTTAATTTTATCAACCAGGTCCTCGCTCTTCCCCTCAAATTTCAATCCAAGTTTCCACTGCTTGATCCAGCTGTATTTGCTTATGAGTTTTTCTGGTAACTAGAGTATGAAGAAACAGAGAGACAAAGAACATTAACCCTCCAAAAAGTCCATCACATGAACCAAGCTGTAAGAAACCACAAAGCCCTTTGTCCTTCTCTTTCTCCCATTTCGTTATCACCAGAGTTCCTACCTTCATTTCCAGAATTAATCCCTGCAAACCTGTCATGTGGGTTTAGGCTGGATCACCTAAACCTGGAAGTCAGGAACTCAGAAAGTACTGCCCTAAGGAGGACTGCTAGAGTGAAATGAAGGTTTGGGTTGAGATACAGGAGCTCATTATAGCCTGCACAACCACCCCAGCCAGGAACCCTGCACAGCACTTTGTGAGTATACATGAAGGAGCCTCTTCACAAAAGCCTCCAGCAGCTGCTGGGCCTTTGGCAGCCTCCCTAGTGCTCCATACTGCCTGACTCTGGAAGGGGCTCCAGGACTTGTGAGATGGTCCAGAAAAGTAAAAAAACCTGCTCCCTTCCTGATTGGGAACACAAAACCTAATTTTGATATTAACACATATACTCAAAGTTTTAATATTCAATGAAGCAATCTTGTATCTAATTCCACTGCTTAGTATAGTAAGATAAAAAACAGCACTGAGAATCAGAGGTAAAGGTTAAAGGAGCTGTGATGGCCTAGCTCAGTGGTCGGCAAACTGCGGCTCTTTCACAAAATACCACGTGCAGGCGAGCATGTACAGTGTGATTGAAACTTCGTGGCAACACTGAAGGGGCCAAAGAGCCGCATGTGGCTCGTGAGCTGCGGTTTGCGGACCATGGGCCTAGCTCATTAAAGAAGTGACAGCTGAACTCATACTTTGCCTGCTTCTCTTTTGTTATTTCCCCCCAATCATCAGTGGAATCTGGAGTCTGAAAAGCAAGATGGGACACAACTTGATGGATGACAGCATGGGAACTCACTCTCCCAACAGTCTCTGGTGTGCCAGGAGAAAAATCCGTATTATTAGGTTGGGCACAGGCATGTCGTGTCACTGCTATAAAATTTAGAGAGGGAAAAAAAAGTTCACCTCCATGTCCAAAGATCATTAAAGAATAATTATTTCCTACAACATCCTATGTGGACCCTGAGCTTATTTAACAGTTACAAATAGGTTTTTTAAAAATATATATTTTTATTGATTTCAGAGAAGAAGGGAGAGGGAGAGAGAGATAGAATCATCAATGATGAGAAAGAATCATTGATTGGCTGCCTTCTGCATGCCCCCTACTGGGGATCAAGCCCACAACCCGGGCATGTGCCCTTGACAGGAATTGAACTCGGGACCCTTTAGTCCAAAGTCCGACACTCTATCCACTGAGCCAAACCGGCTAGGGCATAGTTTTAAATGAAACCATATGTTCAGTTCTTCCGGAATCAAGACCCTGCCTACCCTTTCAGAATGGTAATTCCAGTTTTATCTTCTCAGTCTATACCAATCATGTAAAACAAAGGTGGTTTCATCGCTACAAAAAACTAAACCACCACTGGGATATAAATTCCTCTTGCAGTTCCCACAGTGATGCTCATCCACACTCACTCATAAGAGGGGATGGGCTTATCATAATGACAAATGACCACCCACCCAACTTCATGCCCACACGGTCCTGCATTTTGGCAGCCATGTGGGCAGCTCTGCTGCAAACCCTCAATTAGATTCTGTTTCATCCAGAACCTAAAATGCCCTCAAGTGGCAACAAGCTGAAATCACAACTGGGCACAGAGAAGTGCAAGTGAGCAGCAAATCTTGGCTACACAGATGTGAGCTGGGAACCGAGAAAAGCCCATAAGCCCTCTGAGCATCACGGGACACTGTGCAGGTGTCTAAAAAGCAGGCACAACACTCAACTGAAATACCCGGAGACCCCAAAGACCTAACTACGCAGACAGAAACCAAATAAAAGTCCGTCTCCTCGGTCCTTCCATGTATTGCTCATTGTTGCTAGAGCAATCCTCCAACACAGGGTGCATAGTTCTGGGAGACAGTGGAGCAAGTCCAAAAAATAAGGTGTGAAAAAGAAAATACAAAGAAAAAAAATAATTGAGTTGGAATTATTTATTCAGAAGAAAAAAGTGAATATAATTTTAAGTGCTTTCAGGGCTCATAATACATAGAACACATAATAAGCCATTCTTTTCTCCTGCACTTTAAGAGACTGGACTTCTGTTATAAATTTGAGCAAGAAACAAGACTTAAGAAATAACGCTGGGAAATATTTAAGAATAAAATGGTAATCAGCTTAAGAATAATTCAATTCGTGACTAAATTATAAAAACACCCTGTTTTCTCTAACAAGTCTATAATTCTTGAAACCAACACCATGATTAAAGGGGTAGCAAATAAAAATGTGTCATCCCTAAAACTAACTCATAAAATAAGTTTCGATATACCGTAGACTCTAACCCACTCTAAGCAAACCCTGCCACAGGTCCCACCCACTCAGAGACATTCTAAAGCTTAGAAAACTTGGAAAGCAAAGGACTACCCTGAGGGACACCACCTCTCAGGGACCCAGGCCCTGTTCCAAGTTTAAGAACAGCCACACCAAGCACCTCCAAGGTTGTCAGGTAATCTGACTGCAGTCAAATAACAAAACTGGGATCCGACAGATGCAGAAACAACACATAGGGAGCCCAGGCAAGGACAGGAGGTGAGGGACAGCTGAACTGTCCAAGGGGCAGTGAGGACAAAGCTCAACCTTTCAGGCGGGGAAGGACAGAGGCCAGAGGAGCTGAGCACAGGCAGAAAGGCAAGTCCAGGCGCTCTCCACTGAGATCAGACTAAGGGGAGGGACTCTCAGCCCAGCTCTCCCGCAGCCCTTCCATGTCCTGTTCTAGGAGAGAGGAAAGAGGGCAAAATGCAACAGGGAACACCTTCAATACAACTAGTGAAAGGGCACGTGTTCCTTGGTAACAAAAGACGGCTTCCCTGGGTTCACACAGTCTTGATGGAATGTACACTAAGGCCAAGGGATGTTTAGCACAGCACAGCCGTGGGCTGAGGCTGGTTCTGGGTTTACACAAAAACTTAGGTGTCCCAGGACCTGTCTGACCCCAAAAGCTGAAGAAGTGGGTTACTTAAGCCAGTGCAGTTCAGGAGACTCTGATAACGCTGTCTGACCCCAAAAGCTGAAAGGTGGGTTACTTAAGTCAGTGCAGTGCAGGAGACCCTAATAACGCTGACACCAGATTCCCTCTAACCTGCCTGCCGGGGCAGCCTTTCTGTGTCCCCACAAGTGGCCAGGACTTTTTTTTTTTTGCGGGTAAAGAATTATGAATTTATTAGGTCATCTGGAAACCCATATGGGCTGAGCCCCCAAATGGTGCCAGCACCCTAGGACGGTGAGTCAGAGATTTCATTTTATTTTATTTATTTATTTTTTAAAATCAAGTCCTTTGGTTGATCTCTTACCCCCCTACCTCCCGCCCCCCAACCCTCCCCGGCCTTTTAAAAGGTCAATGGACACACAATAACCAAAGGTGTTGTGCCATGAACTGGCCAGGCCATAGGACTGTCACTGGACACAGGGTAGTGGTCAAAAGAGGCCCTTTGTATTTCAGAAAGACCAAGGATCAGGATAAACTGAGAGAGATCCATTGTCAGAGACTTATTGTGGGCATGGTCCAAGTAATTAATATACCAAGCCGACCCAATTTTAACACAAATAATTTATACCAAGTTCTAACAGCAAGCAGAGTGTTACTTAATGTGACACAATACAAGTTATTCTGCTCTGTCAGGAAGATGGGGAGGAAATGGTCACACTCACTTTCATACCAAAACCTCTGTAAGATTTTGTTTTGTAGCCAGAGAATTATTTAAGTTTCACTTGATCTGCTTGTCTTAAGCATCTGTGTTAACAAATAAATATTAAGATGTTTACTTATTACAGAGTTACACAAGTAGTGCCTAGAGATGGAGAGACCCCATTTCTGGAGCAAGGTGATCCAGGTACCCCAACATCCTAGGGTGCACTGCCAGCCGCAGAAGGCCTCACCACCCTTCCGTCTATGCACTTAGTTCCACCGCAACATCTTCTGGTCACGCTGCACCACCCACTCCCTCACTCAACCTGGCCCTTGTCGGTGAGAACAGGAGTGCAATAGCATCCTCAGAGAGCACGAGGGGCAACTGGGAGGTGCTTAGAAAATAGCTTGGTCAAGTGCAACAACCAAGTCTGGTACCCCTTCCTGCTCTGGCACCTCAAATATGAATCATGTGGTGCATCTGTCACCTGCTCAAGCGATCAGCAAAACTGACCCTGTAAAAAAAGTGCTCAAACCAAGGAAAGTTGCTGGGGGTTGGGAAGCCAGAAGGAGAACAAGACTTCTAGTTAGAGGACAACAAGAAAAGAATAGTCATTTCTTTAGCTGGCATTAACAGAACGAATGTTTAATAAACTTAAATAGTAAAGTCACAGGCAGCCATGAGGCGCTTCTTCTGTGGCACGGGCCTCTAGGCATTCAATATAGGTTACATGACAAAAATAATGCCAATAATACCACTGTGACCAACTAATCAGATTATGCTCCAAGAGAGAAACTGTATTTGTTGGCTGATATTCACAGAAAAGGGAAGAAATTGGGAAGAGCACTTGAGAATTTAAAAACTATTTCCACATGACTCAAATGCAATCAGGAAAACCATCTTAAAGCCCCATTGCTCATTCACGCAACATATTCTAATAGTGATCAGAAAGCAAGCACAATCCACCTTGACTGCTTTTACTACCTATAGGCATCCTGTCAATAAAGTAAAAGGGACACTATGCTTTACTTTCATGGGGCATATTCTATATGTTTAATTATACAGCACACTACTGTACCAGAGTTTCTTGGGAAATATAAAAATTCAAATTCATTATGTCAATTAAATCCATACATTTAAACAGCCCCTAAAAGAAAAAGGCTCAGCCTAAAACAAGGAGGATTTTATGTCACAATCTATTAAATTATGACAATCAAACACTGAAGTTAAAGCAAAAAAGAGTGAAATCACTCACATTTGCTTCCCTAAGTGTCTTATAGCCAGCCACAGGCATGCTTTTGCCAAATAATCAGCAATTCTGAAATTTTTCACTACCTATAAATGTCATGATTTGCAAAGGACAAAATAGCCTTGTGGATCAACTGCTTTTGTTTCTATATTTTTAAAAAAATCAATAAGCTAGTACCGAGTAACCTGCTTAAGATAACATATCTTTGCTTAGAAAAAAAAATAGCTTTCACAGTTTACACAGGTGTGTTGATATATATCGGTTTATAAAACGGATAATCACAGGATGGACAGGTAGTACCCTCCACCCAATGGTCCTGGTTTTGCCCACTGAGGGCATGTGATCGTTCATTCACCTAACAGACCTCTAATTAGCTCAGCTGGCAGCTAAAAATCCTCTTTCTTTTAGGCCCCTTCAACTTCAAGTACCCCAGCTCCTTCACTGTTCCCAAAACGAGATGAATCGTCGTGGTCACACTCCCATCTGCTCTGAGGAACGGCACAGAGCTGCACTGGCTCCTTGAGATGGGAGCTGACCAGCGCAGTCCAAGATGGGCTGTCGCTGTCGGAAGCGCACCTTTAAAGCAGGGCTCCCCTACCACCGCCGGCCATCACGTCACTCGGGCTTATGTGGGGCTTGCAATCAATTAAGATCCTCATGTCCTTTTCCCCCTCATAAGTTGCAGCAAAGTGGATGTCCCACAGCTAGCACTTTGGGTTTTGTCTTTGCTTTTTAAAAAAATATAAGCAACAAGACTTCCAATTTTCTTCTAATTATGCCCTATTGTCAGTTTTGCTCAATCATTCCCACCCACCAAACTCTTTTGGGGTATTCTATTACCCAACCTATGATGGGACCTCATCTGATGTGTGTGGACACACGACACAACGAGACATGATTTCCTGGGTGTCACTACCACATCTCAGGTTTAAACCGCTGGCAAAGGCCTCGCATGGGACACAGCCTGACCTTCACCTCCCCAGGAAGCCCCTCCCAGGGTAACATCAATCACCCGCTTCTAGTGCTGCTGCTCAACCACCTACGAAGCCAATCCTCCTAACACTGCACAGAGGGTGCTAGTTTCTTGAACTGGAGCTGAAATTACAGGAATGTGCACCCTAAAACCCCAGCAGGCTCTCAGAAAGACCAATATACACTCCATTTAATTCAGCACCAGCACGGAAGCCAAACTGCTCCTTTACAAACTCTTAACGCCTGCTCACTAATTCAGCTCAACTGTTCAAATAAACTTTATCATTTTTCTCTTCTGGGAAATACTATTTTTGTTCGCTTTTACTGTGCAAAATCATCCCAACCACACAAAAACCAATGAACCCACATGCTGACGTCATATTGCACACAGGGCTAGCACAGAGCACGGGCAGAAAAGGGAAGTCTTTCTCACAGAAATGATTGGAAACATTACGGACGCAAACCTGCAGCAGCAGCGTACCAGCGTGAGCTCCGGGTCCTGCAGCCAGGAGGGCAGCCCCGCAGGCTGGCTCATGGCCTGGAACAGTGTGGCCCTCAGCGCACAGTAGTTATCTCCGCGGACTCGCCTTATGGAGGTGAATTTCTGAGATACCTCTTCGTAGCCCTGGGTGAAAGCATCAAAGAATTCAAAATGGTTGTTACTAACTTCAGGGAGAGTTTTATTCCTATGGAAAAATGTGCCCCTGAAAGACTGTAAACAAGACTGGTTGAGTCCTTCATGTAAAACATTCTAATTCCTTATTAATCAAAAGATATTAACAAATGTTAGTACTGTACAAAATATCAGCATGTTAACAGATGCAATACACTATAACATATAAATAATACACCAAGTATTATTAAAACACTAACCACTCCCAAAGCTGGAGTTATATATGTCCCTTCCTAAGCAATTGTTGTATTGATAACCGAATGTATGGATAATTGTAATTATGTATTGACTAGAGCAGCGGTTCTCAACCTGTGGATCGAGACCCCTTTGGGGGTTGAACGACCTTTTCATAGGGGTCGCCTAAGACCATCGGAAAACACATATATAATGTGTGTGTGGGGGGGCGGGGGGGAGTCTCTTGGCCCGGCCTACACCCTCTCACAATTCAGGACCCCTCGAGCGGGTTTTGGCCCGATCCCACAATCTGGAAGTGAAAGGAGGAAATGAAAATGTTCAGTGACATGCTCTCAAAAACAGCATTCAAATGGAACATTTTGAAGCATACTCTAAAAAGGACACCATAAAATCCTAGTGACCGGTCCACAGGCCTTTGATGATCTGATCTCCCTGGCTGGGCACTGCTCAGGCATTGTATCAACCTCAGTGCTCCCTCAACTCGCTCACTTCCAATCTGTCCGTCCTTTCACTTGGTCTGCTCTTCCTCGACAGTCTCTGGAGACCGCTTCCTATCCTGCACTCACTCAAAGAAAGGAGTCTCGCTCTCACCACACAGACAGCCATCCTGTGTCCAAGTGCTGCACCCTCATCATGAGCTGTTTTCAAGGTCCAAGTCACAGAACAGTGTTCTTAGTGGGTATGAAAGTTCTTTAAAACAAAATGTTGAGAGTCCCATTTTTATGTAGTGGTCCAATCACTGTGACAGATAAGGGTCCATCAACCAGACTCACATCCACTAATGTGCATCTCTTCCCTATGGTGGGCCCTCAATTACCTTGAATATTCACAATGGCTTGTTCAACAGCAACTGCACCTCTCCAAATACATACATTACTCGTGCTATTTCAGAGGTGAGTCAAACTTTTAAAATTAAATTTGGATTTATACACATCTCCAAAAGAATACCCAAACAGACAAACAAGGACTAAAGAAAGAACAAAGACCCAAGCTGCTCTTAGGCCTGAGGTGCTCTAATTACTGTCACGAGTCCTGATATGATGACATTTTTCTAACTAAGGTGCCTTTGATTAAATTTTGGTCCCTGAATAACCCAACTACAGGGTCAAATCTTTTTCTTGGAATAAAATGACAGAGAAATGATTTCAGCATGAGTTCCAAAATATGGAATATTTGGATAACTTAGGGGTCATCTTCAATTATGGACTTTCAGGTGCCAGTTGTTAGAAAAATCATTTAAAGAGAATGAGATCATATAATTGCAAGTCAATGAAGGTATTTCTGGGGAAGATGAAAAAATATGGGCATACCTAGGAGATATTACAGGTTCAATTCCAGACTACCACAATAAAGTGAATATCTCAATAAAGCAAGTCACCTAAGTTTTTTTGTTTCCCAATGCATATACAAGTTATGTTTACACTCCACTGTAGTCTATTAAGTGTGCAATAATATTATGCCTAAAAAAGCAATGTATATACCTTAATTAAAAAAAACACAACTGGTAGTTATAAAATAGTCATAGGGATATAAAGTACAGCATAGGGAATATAGTCAATAATTTTGTAATAACTATGTATGTGCCAGTTGGATACTAGATATATCAGGGGAACACTTGTAAAGCATACGATTGTGAAACAACTATGCTGTACACCTGACACCAATACAAAATAATACTGAATGTAAACTGAAACTGAAAAAATAAAATAAAATAAAAAAACATCCCACTTTATTGCTAAATAATGCTAACAATCACCTGAGCCTGCTAGAAAAATGGCATCAATACACCTGCTCAACATAGGGTTGCAACAAACCTTCAATTTGTAAAAAAGGGCAACAAAGCAAAGCGCAATAAAATGAGCTATGCCTGTGTAGTTTAGATACTGGTCTACTGGTTATCTAGTCTGATACCAGGTGAAGGTTGTTAGAAAAATCTATGAGTGGCTGATATGCACATTCAGCAGATAGCCTCACAAATCTAGATGTTCTTCACCGCTGGCAGGAACTGAGAGTCCCTGGTATTTCCTGATTGAGTTCTCTCACAAGGGACTGAGCCTACAGTCCACACCTGCAGGGGGCAGAGCTGACATTTGCTCTCAAGCTTGAAAAGTGACAGCTACACTCTGAGTTAAGATCAGCTCATTTCCGGACAGGCCTGGGCAGCTGAGGTACCTGCTGAAAGATATGCAATACTGTCTACAAAAACAAGCTCTGAGAAAAAGACCAAATGTATTCAAATATTTAAACATTTTAAATCCTAAATAGTTATAAATAAAAAAATAAAATGCAGCAGGAAGGCTGGGGAAAGTTGGGGGGCAGGAGGGAGGGGTATAAGAGATCAACCGAAGGACTTGTATGCATGCATATATGCATAACCAATGGACATGGGACCCTGGGGGGTGGGGGAGGCCAGGGGATAGTCAAGGGCGGGGGAGAAAAAAAAAGACACATATGTAATACCCTTTGTAATACTTTAAGCAATAAAAAAATATATATATACTAGGAAAATGTCTACCAAGTATAATAGATCAATATCTATAGTATACAACTGCATTCAAATTAATCATGTAAATAAACCCAAGAGCAAATGAGCAAGAGATATGACCCAGATGTTACAAGAAGTGGTTGAAGAGTTAGACTGAAACTCATTTTTGCAGCTCACAATGGTCAAATGGTAGCAATTTTGCATGGTTCACACTAGTAAGGAATGTTGGATTCAGGACACGTTCAAGGGAAAGTAATGGTGTCTGTTCAGCTGGCTGTGCAGTAGGAGTGAGTCAGGGGATCTGACCTGAGCAACGAGCCAGCCCAGTCACAACAGGACCATGCATGGGACTCCCTGATGTCCCACAGCCTTGGAGACTACCTTAGGGTCACCAATCTGTGCAATGGTGTTGGGAGGGGACAACTCCTGGGACGCCCTAAATGAGGGGAGGAGTTCCAGATCCCTGTGCATAAGGAGTGCAGGAGGGCCCAGCCCCTAAGACTCGAGGGCATGAAACCAAACCCAGGTGGGGACAGTAGGGGATAGGACATCTTTTACCTCACCAGGCCAGAAGGGCATTCCCAAATGACTCCAAGAGGACAAGCAATGGCTGGCCCAACTCTAAACAACAGAGTCATTTCTGTGTTTTTCAAGGAAATCATGTTACTAAAAAACTGATGCTTCTATTTTAATACTGGGACTCGGAAAAAAGTCCCTTATTTTTGGCGTCTGTTCCTTATCTCTAAAATCAATTTACATAGTGCAATAGCAGTTGTCATAATTAATGTCTAACAATATAAAAGAACACACTAAATAATTACTATGACAGACTATTTGAAAGACTTGAAATATGTGCATGTAGGTATCATACCTTTTTCATGCATGTAGCTTTTTGCGTATTTCCTCTCCATTCCTTTTTGCAGTAGTCCATGATATCCATTTCAGGAGCTACACTTAATTTAGGTTCTGTTAAAGAGTCAAACAGAGCAGAGAGGGGGAAATAATGAAAAAAAAAAAAAAGCATAATCAGAACAACATACTACTTTATGCAGGAACTACTTCCTCTCATTTAATTCCAAAAAAATCTGGGATCTCACCATTGCCTACCACCTGATCCAGACCACTATCCCCTCGCTCCTAGATAATGACAGAGGTCTCCCAATAGGTCTTCTTTATCACACACCCCACTAGCAATTCTCCAAATGGCAGCCAGAATGATGCACTTTAGCGATATCCATCACTCCTGGGTGCTGAGAGCTCCTGGGGTCTCCCATCTCAGTTGGAGTGGAATTGATGTCCTTACTACCTACAAGGGCCCCTGTCCTGGCCTAACTGCCTTTCTGGACTCAGCTCTCCCACTCCCCTCACTGACAACTCCTGCTCCACCTGCAGCCGCCCCTGTATTCCTCCAACACACTGGCTCTTCCCCAGGCACCTGCTCCCACATTCCATTCAGGCCTCTGCTCACCTCTGAGACTCCATATCATAATGTCGCACACCTTCACTTATAGTCTTCTTACACTGTTGTTTTTCTTCTTGGCAATGATCAACACCCAACATATTTCTTTTTCTGTATCCCCCCCACCCCGCCCCACTCCACACCCACACACAAATACAGTAAAACACAGCTCCTTGAGGGCAGGGGCTTATTTTATTTCCTGGCTATGTCCCCAGAACCTGCAGCTACTCACACACAGGAGTCTGCAAATACTGTCCCAATCAATTAAACATGGAACAGTCTGAGCTATGAGAAAATACATCTGATTACTTGTAATAAGTTTTTCTCATCCATTATACAAAGAGATAACACTTCAGTAATAAAACATGTATTCGTTTTAGTTAATTTATATCCTGCCCTGATCCCCAAAGGCTACAATAATTGATAATAAGTCAGAAACTAAAAGGGCTCTCGATATTAGTTGAACCACAGACCTCATTTTACTCTAATAAAACAAAGTTAAAAATACAATTTATGTTCAAATGATATAGTAAGAAAATGGCTTTAGTTTTCCTTATTGTTTGGGGTTTGATTTTGTGGTCTACACATACACACTCACATGCGTATATCTATGTGTATGTTTTAGGAAAAAGGGAAGTACATTCTCAGGCATATCTTGACTTCCTTTTTAAATTATTGAAGAAGTAAATGTTAGCAAAGAAACTAGGATATAAACACAGAAGAACCTTACAATGTATCCACTCCAGAGGAAGTTGACATAAAATAAAAATACTATATTCAGCTCAATTCAACAAATATTTACTGAGTGTCTAATACACATCAAGCATTGAGCTAGGAATATGAAGGTTTATGACCCAGATTTTGTCCTGAATGAGTTTAAAGACTACTGAAGAAGAGAAGACAACAGGCATTCACAAGTAAGGCTGTGATGGATGCTGAGATGACTAAGGAGCACAAAAAAGGAGCCTCTAAGCCATCGGTTCTCAACCTGTGGGTCGCGACCCTTTTGGTGGTCGAATGACCCTTTCACTGGGGTCACCTAAGACCATCCTGCATATCAGATATTTACATTACGATTCATAACAGTAGCAACATTACAGTTATGGGGTAGCAATGAAAATAATTTTATGGCCAAAACCACTTTGGCTCAGTGGATAGAGCGTCGGCTTGCGGACTGAAAGGTCCGGGGTTCGATTCCGGTCAAGGGCATGTACCTGGGTTGCGGGCACATCCCCAGTAGGAGATGTGCAGGAGGCAGCTGATTGATGTTTCTCTCTCATCAATGTTTCTAACTCTCTATCTCTCTCCCTTCCTCTCTGTAAAAAATCAATAAAATATATCAAAAAAAAAGAAGAAAATAATTTTATGGTTGGGTCACAACATGAGGAACTGTATTTAAAGGGCCAGAAGGTTGAGAACCACTGAATCTAAGCCCTTCCTACAGTTCAGGTAAATCAATTTTTTTAATGTAAAACATTAAGAACTGTCTATTTTTTAAATCTCATGGTGAATCCACTTATACAGAAAATAAGCCTTGTATGAAAAGGGGAATAGCACATAGAGAGACAACATAAATACATGTAGCTGTGGCATAAGTCAGGATTGGCTTAAAGGTGAAACAGGCCCCTACTCATTATACAGAGACCACAAATACCAATGCTGCACAGCCAATCTTCAAATAAAGACCTATCACTTGAAATTCAAGAAACATTTTTTGAGTATCTATTTAGTAGAGGAAAGGGTTGCCTTGTATCTGCCTTTCCACTCACCTCCCCACAAACCACGAGGAACTGCTAATGTCTAGAGTCAAGGACATTTACTGGGCCGTGTTCTCCCACCAGGCAGAGCACGCTTCCGGCTCAGGAGAGACCTCCAGGAAAGAAAGTCCAGCCTTCCTCCTCTCCTCGCTTGCAGTCCTCATTCCTGCACATGCCAAAATGACACCTGCCTCCTGGGCAGGGCACGGCAGGCAGACCTACCCCTCAGGCCTGACGGGAAGAAGCAGGGCGCCTCACCTGGCCAAGAAGCCAGGCCCAGGCCACAATCCTGTGCTGAGTCAGATGTGCACATGAGGCAGTGAGGGTGAGGACATGGGGTACCTGCACAGCTGCTAGATCAACACGGTACTTTAATTCCCATCCTGCTGCTGTTTTTTGAGAGGCAGGCTCTACAGCCATGAATGCCAACCTCTAGGCCAGGGGCTGGAGGTGCAGGACAGGCAGTGCCTGACCTCAAGCAGCTTAGAGTGTACAACAGCTCCTTTCTTTCATTGCAAACCACATAGACTCTGACTATGAGGAAGAACATTTCTAATGGGAAAAGGGGGGAGAGGGCTAAAAACAGAAGGTAACTAGGAGATGAAACAAACAAAAGGTCAGGTTCTTAACAACCATGTGGTGACAAAGTCAAAGGTCAGACCCTTGGGAGATGGGAAGTTACAGATGAACCCCTCCAGAAGGCTGAGACTCAACAACAAGCTATCAAAAAAGACCCGGCAAATTTGGGGGGGAAAGGGCAAGAATCACACATCTTTTCTATAATGAACCAGACAGTAAATAACATGGGCTTTCGGGGCCATAAAGTTCTGTCACAAATACTCCACTTTACCATGCATGAGAGCCACCATTGACAATATGTAACTGAGAAGTTCTAATGACATTTTTTCTACAAAACCAGGTGGCACATCAAGTTTGGCTAGGGAGCCATAGTATGCTGATCCCTGGAGAAGGTGCAAGAAACCTTTTCACAAACAAAGAGAGAACATAAGAAAACCTTGTTGACCTGAGCTCTGACTTGAGGATTCATAACCACAGGCCAGCTCTCATACAGGGACAGGGTGTAAACTCAGATTAGCCACGAGACCTTAGAAAGACAAGTCTAGAAATTCATATAAAGTGGCCCAAGGGAGGTGACACCCTGGCTGCCTGGCAGAAAGAAGGCCAAATTTTCTCACACTCAAGCCAAGTTGCATGAACTCTACACAGATACACAAGAGCTGAGCTTATAATTCAAACCTTAAAGAAAGAAGAAATAAGCAAAATAGCAAATGGCATAATTATATCTATCAGGATTTTTAAAAAATGAAATTATCAGACCCAGAAGAGTATGTTTAAAATGCTTTCAAAAAATAAAGAAATTAAAAACATGAGCAAAGAACAATAAACTATCAAAAACAACCAGGCAAATGGGGGTGGGGAGCAAGAAACAGAACTTTTCCAAAAAAGAAAATAGATCTGAATAAACCAACTAGAGTGCAACAGAGGCTACAAGATTAAAAACATATATGAAAGCATGTGTAATTGGGAGCCTCGGATGACTGAATGGGGGCAAGCAAATATCTAATTAAGAGTTCCGGAAGGAATACAGAGAACTGGAAAAGGCAATATTCCTAAAGATAATAGCTGAGAATTCTCCCTAATTGATGGAAATTAGGCACCCAGGAATGCAAACAGAAAAAAATATCAAGCAACACATTAAAAAAAAAATCCACACTTCAGACTTATCAAGGAGAAACACCTAAGACAAAGAGAAGGAAAAGGCAGATTATCTACCAAGGATTAGTCTGACCGCAGTGTTTTAACTAACAACAGACCAGAAAACAACGCAATAAAATCTTCTTCAAAAAGATTATAGGCAACAACTATTCATCTGGAGTTACTCAAGAAAAAAAGTGAAATAAAATTTTCAAACATACAGAGCTTCCCACCAACAGACCCTTACAGAGGCTCTTCCAAAGGCTGTTATTTCAGGAGAGCAATGAATAAACCCAGAAGGCTGAGATGCAAGAAAGAATACAAAGGGGTCCATTTTAATCTCAGACTAAGGCTGGAAGTGGCAAGGCCCACTGAAAAGCTAAACTATCTGCATTAGGGCTGTACTGGCAGGCAAAAAAGAGCCTTGAGAATGAAGGAGAAAGTGAGGTCTCTGCAAATGTAAAGACGCTCAACACAGGAGCTGCCCCCTAGTGGTCAGTGCACTCCCACAGGGGGAGCACCGCTCAGCCAGAAGCCGGGCTCATAGGGAGTGGGCCTAAGCTGTCAGATGGACATCTCTCGAGGGCTCCTGAACTGCGAGAGGGTGCAGGTCGGGCTGAGGAATTTCATGCACTGGGCCTCTCATATGACGAATAAGAACTCTGCATCAGAAGTGAATTCTGTGCAACTACAGCAGTAGAAAGCAAGTGTCCTCAGCAATTTCATGGAGGACCAGAACAGTGTGGCCAAGAATACATCTGACTAGGTCTCTACAAAGAACATCTCCTATGGCCACCAGTGAGGAGCTCCACCAATTCCTAGTTGAGGAAGACTTGAAAACCGTCAACAAAACCCCACTTTGTATCATTTCTTCCTAATTACACATATGGTAATACTTTTGTTAACCATAAAATAAACAGAAGCTAGTTCTCAAAACAAACCACTAGAACACACACATTACACTGGGAATAAGAGAGAAAATGCCACTTGTGCCTCATCTATGACAAATCCCCAATTGGAGTATTCCCCCTCAGCTCCTGCACAAGTAAGGAGGTACTTCACATACAGCCCTTCTGGCTGTGCCCACAGTGGAGGAGGCCAGGATGTAATGCCTCGCCCTAGCAGCAATGATGGGTAAAAGGGCCCTGGTTGGGGTGAGAGGAGTAGGCATGACTGAGCAGAAACATGGACACAAAATCATGAAACGAGAGAATTAGTGCTACCAATCCCATGATCATTCTTTCTTACAAGTCAGTGAATCCACATGGCTATCTGATGCAAAGACACAGTTCTCTATTAGTCTTCCCATGTGAAATGAAAACTGCATTGCAAATCCAAACTCCCCCTCCAAGAATGTAAGGAAATCAAGAACTAAGAGAGGGTGGTGTCAAGAGATTCAACAAATCCTGACGGGTGCAAAAATGGCATGAAAAGAATACTTTCAATAAAATGTTAAAACCTCGGGAAACAATACTCACCAGACTTTAGTGAAATGAATAATTGCATGCAGCTAAGACCATATGCATATCTCCTAGGAAGTACATCTTAATATTTTATGAACATGGATATACGGATTTAACAGCATTTTCTACTATAAACAGTAGAACAATAAAACAATAAATAAAACAATCCCAAACATACCTGATAACCCTCTTTCATGTATAAGTAACTCTTTCTCCTTTTCTATTTCATCCGCAGCACGATACATGTCCTCCTCGCTGAAATCACACCAAATGAGACATTTCAAAGTTGTTGCACTGACAGTTTCCCTCTTATCACAAATGCAGGTTGCTTAAAAAATTGATAAGACATGTAAAGTTTAATTTTTTTCATATTAATGACAATCTGATAAAATATGGGTCTTTCATCTTAGATACTCGTGTTTCTATCATTTCATTTCAGAGTTTCTTACTTCAAATGAGACATTTTACATCACTCCATTTGCCACCTAGCTCTGAGGCCATTTTAATTACAAGTCTATTAATGCCTCATCTACACATGTAAGCATCTTAGCATGTGTCTTATCAATGAAGCACTGTCACAGTCTATCAAGTTTCAAGAATAAATATAGTGCTATTAAAAGTGTTCATATAGGCCCTAACCGGTTTGGCTCAATGGATAGAGCGTCGGCCTGCAGACTGAAAGGTCCCAGGTTCGATTCCGGTCAAGGACATGTACCTTGGTTGCGGGCACATCCCCAGTGAGGGGTGTGCAGGAGGCAGCTGATGGATGTTTCTCTCTCTCATCAATGTTTCTAACTCTCTCTCCCTCCCCCTTCCTCTCTGTAAAAAATCAATAATATATATATATTTTTAAAAAGTGTTCATATAGGTATGCAGGCCGACGGCCCACCTTAATGTCACAGGCAAACTTTACAATAGTTACTCTAATAACAATAGACGAGCATCAATTATTACAAGTC